CAGCTGCAGCGGCAGCCGCGTTTGCAGTCGCAGCATTTTGCTGCGCGTTTTGCAAATAACTTGGATTTAACAATGATGTAAAATTTCGCGACTGATTCATTACGTGGAACTTGTCACAGACGTGCAATACGTCAGAATAGCTGTGCGCTAAGCAGCACACAATTGCTTCTTTTTTTTCTTCTTTTAAGTTCAATAGAAGTTTACACACCACAAAAATGGCGTACAAGTTCGACTGACGGACACCTCGATCTCTTTCATGGGCGTACCAGACATGGATACTATGTTCTAGAGCAGAATTGAGGAGGCAATTCCCGCTCGTTACTGTTTCGATGAGTTTCGGAATACTCTCGACTTAGCATATAAAATCACCTGTATGAAAGCAAGAAATAAATTTGAATTTATCCCTCGATGCTTTTAAAGAAATATATGACATATGTAATCATTCATTTTCTTACATAAGCATGTTTTATTATTCGATCTACAAAAGATCTATTTCTTTGATGACGAATTTTTTCTTCATTCAGCAAACTTCAGCTATGATTGGTTCAGCATGCTGTGTAACCAGGGACAACGCACATGCGCATTAACAATTGTTACGATATCAGTACATATACCTGGTGGCAGTGTTGGGCAGTCGTGAGATTTTATCGCACGCGAGAGCTTTATGCGCATGCGTCAGCGACGTCACAGCTTGCTGCCAATGCCGTACCTAGCCGGTACACGCAGTGGTGACTGATGAGGGCACCTTAATGATCCTACATAATTTTTCAAAAATTCTTATAATTGCACTGTAAACTATGAATGTATAGGTTGGGTTAGATTAGTTATATATATGACTGTATAAAACTATACAACTATGTATTTATGAGGTGAATTATATAATATAATATGATGGAATATGGGAAATTATTATATTTAAAATAATACAAAAGCACAATAACTTTTAAAACACTAAATACAATCAACAGGTTAGGTCAGGCTTACGGTTCGGTTACATTCGGTTAGGGGAGGGACCAAGGTTAGGTCGGATTATGTTAGGTCAGGCATACGGTTAGGATATATTATGTTAGGTCAGGATCTAAGATTAGTTCGGACATCTAAGGTTAGTTCGAACCATGTTAGGTCAGGGACTAAGGTTAGGTTGTATAAGATTAGGTCTGGAGACCTAACATATATCATTCCCCATGTTACTATTACTATTATCGTGGAACTATAATTATTATCCTTACTATTCTTATTATCATCAATTGAACCGATATCACTACCCATATTACTACTTTTATTATCGTCACAACTATTATTATTATGCTAATTATTCTTATTATTATCAATATTATTACGCATATTACGACTACTATCGTCGCTGGAACTGTAATTA